CAATGCAATATGTGACGACATGGAAAGACGGCACATTGACGTTAAAGAATTCTTTCCAAATCATAATTTAGATGTCGATGAACAGTCGATGAATCAAGGTGAGTTTTACTCCTCAAATATAAAGACAGAAATTCCTTAGTTTAATTACATAAAATTAATATAATATAAAGTCTGAAAATATAAGCGTCATTGTTTGTGTTAATGTTTAGGATAGATTGTTTGATATAAGCGGTGTTAATGTACCAAATTAAAGCTGAAGTGCCTACGATGAAACACGGTTTCCAAACCAGTGCTGTAACTATATTTTAATCGTTTCATTTTCTGATATTTTCACTATACTGATTATTCATGTTGGTACGGTAGAATGCGGTGCAAGTTCTAAATTTTCCTGTAAATACGGTTCAGGTATACACACTCTAGAATACAGCAAAAATTGCCTCGTGTAACATTGCCCTTATTTCTCGTTTATCAGTTTATCTTGAGTCTATTTCTAAATGTAGATCTACTTCTAAATGTAGTGTAATTATAAATATATAATAGATCTGTAGTGTGAGAATAATATGAAACACGTTTTTCATATATCTGAGGATGGTTTTAAAATAGAACTATACCACTCTAGACAGAATTAGCTAACGTTTGTTTACACGCAATTCACAACATTTGATAACGCATGCCCCTATCTACAATTTGTTTTAGTTTACGGAAGTATATAATAAAACAATGCACAGTGACTAAACCATTAGAATTATCTACATATACAGTGGGTGCCAAAAGTATGAGTCCAGGGGCACTTTCCATTTAATGGTCTGACCGGTCTCTGTATCAGTGGAAAGATCTGGTATGTTTCTCAAATATCTAGAGGATATGGACCTCATTCTAAGTTTATCTAAATTTTCCGGTCAGATAGTTGCGAAGCCCAAATGTTTTGTGTTTCATTCAACAATTTGACTGTTCTGACCGGTCTGGCCGTGTTAATGGAAAGCGCCCCAGATGTCAGTAATGAATGCATACTTTCAATTCTGCATTCATTTTCCACTATGTATCACAACCATATTTCATTTAAGTACTGCAACCCAGTAATTGAACAAACAATTACAAACATTTTAGTATCTAGTGTAAAGTAGTAGCGTTTATTTAAAGTAGCTTGAACTCTTTTTGGCGTGGATTTGACGTAATAATTCAAATCCGACTATGAAAACTGGACTCGATTTCAAGTCCAAGCAATTTGATCAAGTCCGAGTCCAAGCCGAGGACTGGATCAAAATGCGAGGACCTGAAATCTAGTCCAGTCCGAATTGGAGGATTTGAAATGACATCTCATACGAATAAATCACTATTTAATGAATGTTGGTCCAGTCCAAGGACTGAATTAATTTTGATCCAGTCCTAGGACTGGATCAATGTACTTCATTAGGCATCCAGTGTTATCATGTGAGCGAAATATAGCTATATGGTTGGCTAATTTACCCATTATTTGAAGAATGATGTGATATTTCTCTTTTTTAAGAATGCCATCTAACCTATAAAGAACCCCAACACCATTTAAACTGAAATAACATCAAACTTGAACGTTTCCACCGGCATGTTTCACTGCATGTTTCACTGTGGATTTGACACACTGATTAAACTCTCCGACCATGCACGTCTTTGTCTACCATAAGCACGGCGACCATTTCCATAGACTTCAAATTTCGATTCATCTGTGAAAAATACTTTTTCGCAACTATCACAACTATCTGTCCTCCAGCTCCTTCAATGAAGTCTTTAGCCATCTTTTTTGGTGCTCATACGTGTAGAACATCAGATTAGCTTATGTTATCATTTATTATAGCCAAAAGTTGAAAGAAACAAATGTGGGAAACAATTTTTGGGAAAAATGTGATTGGACATACTTTTGGCTTGTCGTTTCTGAAATAACATACTACGATCCATGTCGCACATTAGATTCAATCAAAAATTTTAAAGAGGATTAAATTTTACAATAAAATATTGTAAAGATACACGATACTTGATATTTTTCTCACTGGACTATTTTGCAATTCCAAATAGATCCAAATGAAGAGACAGTTTCAGAGGATCCGTATGGCGTGACTCAAGAGTCAGGACTAATTGCAGGTATTTTTGGAACTTTTTTCAACTGAAAAAGCCTTACCCAAATATTGAGACACTATAAATCTTGACTGAACTAACGTTTAAGACTTTCCATGGCAGTTTAAAAAAAAACGAGAAGTTCATTTCCGAAAAATTTTAAACATGTTTATTTAAGTTTGAGTTTAAAACTTTTCTTTGAAGAGGATTTTTTACATGAATGAAAAAATAATTTTACTCACGTGACGTCACCGTTTTCTCCAAGATATTGCAAGCTTTCGAAATTTTGCCTAAGACGTCAGTCTGACGAAGTATGAATTACTTAACTACAGAATTGCGAAGTAATCTAAAACCCTGAGCAAACTAGGAAACGTTGTTGTGGAAACATTTGTGATTCTCGATGTTTCCTCAAATGTTTCCATGTTTGTCCACCCGTGGAAACACTTGCTAACACAAAATTTGCTTCCCGGGAAGATATTGACTTGGTATAATATGTCAGCAAATGGTTCCACGTGCTAAGTACCGCAAACGCTATCTGGGAACGAAATTAAAGCGCCCATATCAGGGTTTTGGAGTTTGCATAACTTGAAAGTTTAGGGTATGTTAAGACACTTAACGGAGAATTTTCGAAAATTTTGTTGCAATGATACAAAGGAAAATTTGCAATTCTCCTTTTGACGTCATATCCGGTAACTTTAAGAGCTAATAAATCCATCAAGATGAAATTTTTCAATAACAAAATATATTGCAAAGTGCCTTAAAATACCCTAAACTTTCGAGATATACAAACTCCAAAACCCTGATATAGGCACTTTAATGATCTGTTCGACCATCAATGATGTACTCGACCGTCGACGTTTCCGAAATTTGGGGCGCACTACCTCCAAAAATTTAAAATCGTTACGTAAATAATATTTGTTGCAAAAATAGGAACCAAACGGAAATATACAGAAACCAAGCAGAAACACGAAGATGCCCAGCAGGAACACGAAGATGCCCAGCAGGAACATAAAGACGCCAAGCGAGAGCATGAAGATGCCCAGCAGGAACACGAAGACGCCAAGCAAGAACACGAAGATGCCCAGCAAGAACACGAAGACGTCAAGCACGAACACGAAAATGCCCAGCATGAACACGAAGATGCCCAGCAAGAACACGAAGACGCCAAGCAAGAACACGAAGATGCCAAGCAAGAACACGGAGATGCCCAGCAGGAACACGAAGACGTCAAGCAGCAACACGAAAATGCCCAGCAGGAACACGAAGATGCCAAACAGAAACAGGAAACCGAGCCAAAACATGAAGAAATCAATCAAAACGAAAAGTACAACTGGTTTAAAACTGCTTTCCTGGACTCTAGACACAAAGTTAAAAAAGATATTCATCAAAAATTAAGAAGGTAGTTTTTTAAATACTTTTTTGTTGATATCTTTACTAATGTTTATACAACAAAGGGAAGCCTCGCAGTGCCTCGGAAGGTCGTCTCCAATTGGATGAGGGTTTTCTAAAGAACGAAGCAATTCATTGTTCAGAACACAAAAGAAATTGTCAAATCGGGCCAATAAAAATCACTCTTCCGAGCTACTGCGAGGCTACCCTGTACAAAGACTGGATCATGCATTTATATTGTTGAAAAGTGAAGACGGAGGTAAATCTGCAAATCTCGATGTGCGTTGAGTACTGAAATAATTTAATTTATTTCATATCCCTTTGGGTGTTTTCATGTCAAACGGTACTTGCTTCAGGTGCTCATATATGTAACAAAAGACGCACATTGGGATAGTCTTCGTTATGTCTAAAATTTGTTCGTTAGAAAATTAAAAATTCCAGTTGAGATCACCATTAATTTGTGTTTTAAAGGGTCCATATTCTCTGTAACTTCTGGTCGAAATGCGTATAAGGCTCCCTTTACACGAGCCCGGGTTATTTTGCCAGCGCGGGTCAATCCATCGAAGAATAAATCTGTATTAGCGTTTACACGATAGCTGGGTCAACTTTTCACACCTCGCCAACCCGGGTCACTCTTCTCGAGACTCGGGTTGGCGAGGTGTGAAGGCGTGAAAAAAGTTTACTCATTTCTTCTTGTAAAGTCGGGTTGGCTTGACATGTGGTAAATTCCTGATTGTGATCTTTGCACCTAGCGTCAAATCATATTTCAACATTTTGCGTGACATATAAAATCATACAGTATGGCAAGTAAAAACAGTTCAAAACCAAAAGTTCAAAAAGTTTAAAAAAGTTAAAAAAAGAAAAAAGAAGTTAAAAAGTTAGATTTTCAAAAAAGCTTAAAAAGTTAGATTAGGGTTAAGGCTGATTTCCACTGTTGCGTTTTTCATACGTGCGTATACGCACGTAAAACTTTAAATCCGTTTAAATGTTACTTATGAAATAACCAAATAAGTAAAGCAACAGAATTTAGTGTTCCGCAAGTTTTAGTATGCATTTGTTAACTTATTTGTAAAATATTTAAAAAATAGAAGGATTCAAAGTTTTACTTGCGTGTACGTGCGTACGAAAAACGCAACAGTGGAAATCAGGCTTTAGGGGTTACAATACAATACAATAGTTTAATTTCGCTCTCCCCCAGGGGGGCTTTTCAG